CAGGAAAACAGAAGATGGCAATTGATGTTACATTTAAATTTGTAAAGATTGTAGGTAGCAGGGAAGCAAGAAATTGGAAGGGAGTTCCACAGGTGAGAAGTGTGAAAAAAACCCCATAAGAATAAAACACATTGTTGCATTTATCTAGTTCAACAGTAAAATGGTGAGACCTAGTTGCCAATCTAGTAGCAAGCTTAAATTTCTTAGCACAAGTTGAGGTACCAAGGAGGAAAGCTCATCAAAACAACAGCCATAAAAATATTTGTAGAAAAGACAGAGGGAAGCCATGTCATGTCGGTGAGAAAATGACTGAAGGTGAGATGCCAGGTCAGGATTTATATTACATTATAGATCCTTCTTTGAATTTTGTCAAGAATTTTGAGATATATATTTGAAGCACCAGACCAGATATGGCAGCAAAATTAAATGCACAGATGAATGATAGATTTATAAATGTGTAACATTAAGTCTAACAAGGAAAATTGTCTGGCATAACACAGTGAACCAACTATCCTAGAAGTAGATCTAGCAATTGATTCAATATAATCACTTCATTTCATATAAGTAGAAAACATTAGTCCAAGAAAGTACAATGACTTACTCTCTCAGAGGTTAGTATAATAAAAATAATAATAGTAAGGACTTATGGCATCGGTAAACTTGTATTTGAAAACTCATGCCTGCTTTTTGTAGAAGGAAAATTGACATCAATTATTATCTAATGAATGTCATGGCACACAACTGAATTATAAAAAAAAGCTATTGGAATTTTTATAACCAGTGGAAAAGAAATCTTTATAGTAATATAAGAAAATAGAAAGAGTTTGGGGATTTAAATATGAAATTAATTTATTTGGTTCTTCAAGCTAAATTATAGAAGATATCAAATTTGTTACTTTTACTTAAAGTCTGTTTTTTTTTTTTTTTAAGCAAATAGTACCAGTTTCCCCATTAAAAAATAGGAATGTATCCAATGAAGGCAGTAATAAAATTTTAGAATGGATCTTGGTAAAGTTTAATCTTCATGTCCACAAAAAAAAACAAACCCCAAAATGTTTCAAAAGGATGGTTTTTCCCTTGTCACCACTAATATCACTCTTATGGATACAAGTTCTACTGTTTAACCCATAGCTGGGGGGAGAGAAGATGTATTCATATCTTTCCCAAGGTTATTTGCACATAAGTGAAGTGTAATGAACTTGGCTTGAATTTGAACTTGGTTCTCTGATTTGTCATGCTGAGTCACTATCTATTACACCAGTCATACAGAATATGATATGAGGCAATAAAAACGGATTAGACTAATAGTCCCCAAAAGTCTCTTGAAACCAACCATAATTAACAATTAACTCTGTAGAGTTTCAATTGAGTGAGTTGACCTGTTGAATAGCATCGAATTTTTGTGATTTTCTGGCAGTTTCGATCTTTTTAAAAAGTTCAACTGAAAACAATATTAAAGCAGGTGCATATATATATATATATATATATATATATATATATATAAAATCTGTGAAACAAAATTGACAAAAATGTGGTTGGTAAACAAATGGATTATATCATATTGCAAAACAACTTTTTAAAAGGAATTTGATATCGTTAGGGGTCATTTTTAGCCAGTAAAAACTCTGACCATAATTCAAGAGATGAAAAATCAGGAAATATCTAACATTGTTTTATTCAACATTTTTCTGAGTTATAAAAAGAAAATCAGATTCAAATCTTTCATAATAATTATAAAACTGAACGGCTTTTAATTAGATAAATGGAAAATCAAATTTTTTTTTCTGAGGTTTTTAAAACGGTTATTAATGCAACCAGAAAATTACATGATATGGTATAATCCAAAAATTGAACAAAACTTTTTCTAATGAAAAAAAAAAAAAAAACAGAAACAGAAAAAGTAATTGTCAAAATAAAAAGCGGAAATAGTCAACTGGCAACCGACCAATCAAGCAAAGGAAAGCAACTCTGTAGCAAAACGTAATACCAATGGCAAGAGTGGTAGTGATGGTTGCGGTGACAGCGGTGTGGTGGATGTAGCATTGGTGATGGTATTGGTCAAAGTGAAAGACATGGTAGTAGCGGTAAAAGTAATGGTAGTGGTCACACTGTGGTAAAATGGTAGCAGCAATAGTGGTGGGAGCACTTGTTATAACACTGGAATAATTGTGAAATATATCTTTTGGCAGGAATGTGAAAGAATAACCAAAAAAATCTTTTCATATAACAAAATAATAACTTGCTTTGACAGTACATATACTAAAATAATGTAAAAGGACAACAACAAGGGAGGGAGGGTAATATTCCCCAGAAAGAAAAAATTCCAAAACAACTACTATCAGAATTTTTACTGATATTACTTTTTAGATATTGTAAAAATAAATAAATGAAATGATTAACTTTTGATTTGTAATTGCTTTTCCTTGCAATCACTCAGACCACCATTTTATGGCTGTTAGTAAAGAGTGCAGGTTCAAAATTAAGAATAAGCTCTGAATTCTTTACTAAAAGCTGCAATGACATTTTGAGTAACTGTGATGAAAAGCAATTTAAATTAAGACAAAATACAAATAAAATATTAATCATGGGTGACAATCGTTTGTCTATTAATAAAATTTAAGATAAATTTGGTACAGTTAAGAGATTAAACTTCCTCTCATTACCCAGTTTAACCTGTAAGGCTGCAAGTGCCCATATATGCTAACATGTTTCATGTGCTTACAATCCAAGAGTGCTTGAAGAGTGGTTGGGTAGAATTGTATTTCACTATATGCATTGACACCAGTCACATGATCAACTAGAGACATCAGAAGGATGTGGCAAATGACTAAATCTCAATTTTACATTCTGATGAGTATCTGTAGCCTTAATGGTAAAGTGCTGTCCATTTCCAAAGCTGTCCCTTTATTTCCACATTACATTATTTATTTTAAATCTACAACTTTTACAAAGTTGTATAATTCCAAAAACCATATCCCATAACCAGTAATACCAAGTTAAATTATGTAACATTTGATAGAGAAATCAATTTATTCTCACAACTTGTAATCCTTGATTTTCAATGGCTTTTGAGATTTAATTACCCTAACATACCATATACAGGGTGTGATGGGTAAACTTGCCATTTTATATTTTTAATTTTGAGCATGTGTGTTGTTTGTTTTTGATTTTGTTGACTACACAGTATAGTAGGGTCAGTTGGGCACCACCTGTGAGAAAAAGAGCACCATCAGAAATTTGGAAAGCATGCTGTACTGCTTGGTATTCACACTGGAAGCTCTAATATGAACATTTCAGAGTGTTTGGGTGTCAATCTGAGGAAAGTGCAAAGGATTTGGAAAGAGTTGGAGGAATCTAATGGTGATTACAAAGATACAGTAGCTTGGAAAACTCACTCAGACTCAACATGGGAACTTTCATCAAGTGCTACCCCGGGTCAAGAGGGTGGCTGCTGGAAGACCCTATGTCAAGCAACAGGTCTCTGCACCATGCCATACAAGCAAAAGAACCCAGTCATGGTTGTTAGACAATTTCTGTGATCACATTACCCCTTACATTTGGCCATTTAACTCCCTAGACTGCAACCCCTTGATTATTGTGTATGAGGTGAAGTTCAGTGAGAGACCAACAAAACTCCTTGTAACACCAAAGATGAACTGAAGGCAAGGATTATGGCAGCATTCAACAACTTAAACAAGGAAGCTATCCAGAAGAGTTGCAGGATATTCCAAATTTGTCTGGAAGTTGTGGTTGAAGCCAATGGTGATTTTATTAAATGAATTTACTCTTTAGTATTTCATGATATTTTTGTGGAATTTTGGTAAATATATCTGTTAAAATGAGATGCTCGAGTTATTTTCATTTTTGAGTAATTTAGACGACAATTTATCCATTGCACCCTGTATTTCAACATTTTGGTTCAGACTCCAGGGATTTAGCAATTGAAACCTCTTAAGGAAGCAATTCTTAAAATCCAATGTTAAAAATAATGACTAATTTATAGTAAAACTACACTGAAATATCAATTAAAGTTGGGTAATTACTTTGTATTCTATCTGTAATAATTTGATAGATAAATCTCAAGGATGTAGTCAAAAATTAGTTACATTCATTATTAATTTTTTATTAGTTATTCTTTCATAAGTTGTATTTTTATTACAACTGTCAGGTTATGTTTTTACATTCTATAATCATAAATAATGTATTGTGGAAATAAAGAGATGGCTTTGGAAATGGACAGCACTTTACCATTAAGACAACAGAGATCCATCAGAAAGTAAATTTGAGAGATTTAATCATTTGCCACATTCAGCTTTATTTTTTTCTCTATGCTATATTGTTTATTTATACCCAGTAGTGGGTCTTAAATTGTTCAATTTTCTTAGACGAAGTAACCATTTTTAATTTTTAACTAGCTTTTAAGTCCTTGTATTATTGTTGCTTTTTATTGCAACACACAGGTAAGTTTTTTTTAAGCTTTTTATTGCAATATGCAGGTAAGTTTTTTCCAATTTATGCTGCTTATTTAACTATGCAGAAGGTGAAAAAAATGGACTGAGAAAAAATAAAATGAAAGAAATCCTAGTAAAAAATGAACAATGACAATATTACAACTTATGAGAGATTTAAATTATTTTTTTTTTTTTAAGTAAATCACCTAGATTTAAGATTCTCAGAGACCAATTAGAGCCAAATTGAGCAGGAATAGATTATTTGTTTTTTTTTGGCCAAAACTGATTGATTTGTTTTTTTATAGCTTATTAACCTTTAGCAGGTTATTTAAAGCCAGAAAATATTTTTAGATTGGAAGAATTTTTTGGAGATAATGATGATTTACTGATAAAAGTTCGACTAATACTCATAGCTGTGATGGAGAAGAACTGGGTTCATAATTTTCTCAAGAGTATTTGCGTGTAAGTGAATATAACAAACCTGATGAGAATTGGCTCTCAGATTTCCAATTTTGAGCCATTATCCATTACTCAACTTGCACATCCAAGCTTACAACACCTGACAATCCAAAAGTGGTCACCCATCTAGGTACTGACCAGGCTCAATGTTGCTTAACTTCAGTAAACATATGAGAACTGGTGTTTGAATGTGATATGGCCGTAAGCCTTTATTGCCAAAAGAATACTAAAAATAATATTTGTCAAAATGAAATTGAATTTGGTACTACATAATATATATATATATATATATATATATATATATATAAGTGAACATTGAAATCAACATTCAGAGGTGACAGGCTGTTTCATGCTAGGACGCAATTGTCAGGCTACGAATTTGTGGCCTGTGTCGATTGCGTCTAGTCATTGTTCAATATTCACTATATCTATATTTACATACACTATCTATGATATTGAGCACTTTATCCCATAACTATAGCACACCTTAAAACTAATTTTTTTTCATATATATATATATATATATATATATATATATATATATGTGTGTGTGTGTCAAGAAGTTACTTTTACATGTATTTTCTTCACAGTTACCCATTAAATATATAGCTTTTGTGTATCTTTGATTTCTTGCTTCTATATTTTTCATTGAGAGGATAGCTATTAATTAAGTAAATCGTAGTATTCTATAATACTGAAAAAGAATTTCACTTCAGTCTTGGGATTAATCAATCAGAAAATACTGAAGTGGTTGTTACCAGAAACAGTTCAGTCTGAGGAAAGGAATGGTCAATACTAAAATGTAGGTTTCAAATCAAAAACAAAATGTGATTTTATACAAAGGTAAGTATTGCGTATTAGAAGGGAGAGAAAAACTAATAGCTAAAAGAAGACCAACAGATAAAAATATTAAAAAAAAAAATAATTATTTTAGAAGACAATGATATAAAATAACTCATATATTGACAATAGTTTGTTAATTTTTTTTAAAGGTTTAAATTGTTCTTTTTTTTCCTTTTACTACTTACTCACCTAACAACATTATTCAACAAGTCAATTAATTAGTATACATAAATCCAGACATATAAAATTCAATGTATACTTATATATATTTGTATGTGTATTGGATTGATGGTGCCTATGAACCGAGTTAGGAGTTTTACAAATTACTTTTGCTAGTTAGTGGCGGGAATGGGGGGGCAGTGTTGATGATTGATTGATTTGTTTTCTACAGTTTATCAACCCTTTGCAGGTTATTTAAAGCCAAAAATATTTTTAGATTGTAAGAATTTTGTGGGGAGATAATTATGGTTTAGTGATACAAGTCTTAGTAATTAACCCATAGCTGGGGGGAGAACTTCAGGATTCAGACCTTTCCCAAGAGTATTTGTGCAGAAATGAATATTATGAAACTCAATAGGAATTGGTACTCAGCTCTTTGATTAACAATTCCGAGCCATTATCCAATATACCACCTGCACATCCAAGCTTACAGCACTTGGTATTCTCAAGTGGTCACCTATCTAGGTACTGACCAGACTCGAGGTTGCTTAACCAAGGGTCTTTGCACATAAGTGAATATAAAGAGTCTGACTGGAATTAGAACTCTGTCTCCGATTTCCAAATCTGAGCCATTATCCATTTCATCCCGTGCACATCCAAACTTACAGCACCTGATATTCTCAAGTGGTCACACATATAGGTATGGACCAGGCTCAATGTTGCTTAACTTTGGTGATCTTGTGACCTCTAGTGTTACAACATGATGTGGCCGTAAGCAGTACAGTCTTGAAGAGCTCAGTTCAAGAATCTAATATCAGGTTGTATCCATTTGATTATGTTGCCATGCCACTTTCTTCACTGGATCCCCTTGATTTTTTTCCCAACAACCATCTCTTAATACTTTATCATTCAACATGACTGAACCCCGCCCCATAAGTATTGGTTCACTGTTTGTTGTCAAAGTCTCACTGTTTGCATGACTTTCTGCATTATTTACAATGATGTCATATTATAGCAGAGTATATGTGGGGTGGGTTACAGTAGGTTGGATATTGACAGTTAATATTTACAAGGTGGGTGTGGGCATTATTGTAACCTAGGGAAGGTTATTGAATAAAACAATCACACAAAAGTTGGTAATGAACAATAATACTTAGGACACAAACAACACATATAGGATTCAGCAGTGGTGTGTAGAAGTAGTAGTCAACTGCTAGAAGTGAGTCAAGTGAATTTCACAATGAATCTCCAACTGCAGACCAACATACAGTATTAACTATTGTATTTATGTGAATGGAGACATACCTATTATTGTCCATAGGTATGCTACAACAGACATATTGAATGCTAAAGTGTTAAATGCATATTTTTGTTAATTCTTTTTTTGCTTTGTTTGATGTGACAATATAGCTTAAGTTTTACTTTTCATTAAGGAGACAAGTGGGGTCAGAACAAGTATTTGTTTTTTTTTTACAATGATATTTACCTTGAACAAGGCCCAAGAGCCACTCAAGTTAAAGGGTTACAAAGTAAGAGGCACAGTTTATAGAGATATGTGGTGAAGATAATGGATGACTCTCAAGATGATCAGGTAAAGATTGTACAGGGTGGTCTGAAAGTTTTGTCCACCCTACCAAAATTTAGTGAGAACAATAGAAGAACAAGTAATACAAAGCACATGTATTGGATTCAGCTCTTTCATTGATGCTGTCACACATTGAAAAGGTCTGTATGAGACACCATTATTTTTGTGGCACAAAATGACGTGGCACCATGTCCTGTGTGATATTTCATAAAGCTGTGCTTTGTTGATTGTTGCAAAGGCTCTCTGAATGGTGTCTTTCAACTGATGGGTATTCTAGTATTGTTCATGTGAAACTCTTTGATAATACTCCACAGAGCATTGAAATAGAAAATTATATTATGTAGTGGGTGACAAGACTTTTGGACCACTATATAGTGATCAGGGAAGCATCCTCTTGGGAGTCAGTTCCCCTGGAATCTGAATAGTAAGGTGGGTCTTAGTTCCACTAGTTTTAACCTTCATGGCTAAAGAATGTAGTTCATCTGAACAATTTTCATGGAAATAGCAACAGAGAACCAAGAGGTTTGCAATGTTTTATCTGTGAGGAAGGGGTTGTTAGGTGGAAAATAATTTGTCACCCACAAGGACACAGACACTTTTAGACTGTCAGAAGGGTTTGCATACTTATGTGATCTGTTAGGCCATTGTTTCCCAATGTGGGTACTAGCACTTCCTTGTGGGATCTGTTATGTTAAAAGGGGCACTGGGAATTTTTATCCCATTTGTGGGGCAGTGAACATACTCAGGTGGATGGTGGGCATTTATCCAATTTCTTTTTTTCCAAATTTTCAAAACTAATTCAATATTGGCTACAAAAGGAAATTTCTGAGATGTATCTAAAGCTGTAGGAAGCTATTAATCTTTTCTTCATTCCTTTTCCAATTTCCTATGTTGTTAAATGTGGTTTCAATACAGTTACACAGCTTTTTACTGAACAAAGAAACTGCCTGCAAATTACAAAATGAGGAGATCTGTGATTACTTCTAAGCAGGATGGAACCTAGTGTAAGAGCCCTTAGCCAGTAAGAACTGAAGTCAACCATCATATTGAAACACTTAAATTTTTTTAAGCATTTTAATCATTGGAATTTATAACAGAAATGAAAATAATATTGAAATTATATTTGTACTAATACCTAAGTGTTATCTTGTGATGAAAGATGAAGTATAGTATTAGACATTTGACAGGGAGCAGTGACAAAAATGTTTGTGTCCAAAGGGGCCACTGGTTGAAAAAAACGTTGGGAAGCACTGTGTTCGGCTATTATTGGTCATGAATTGTGATTCTGGAATATTTATACTCTTGTAAGTAGTGCTATAGTCCAGGTTACCCAATCCAGGCAGTAAGCATCAGATATGGGATCTATTTAAACTTATTCAGTTAGTGTATTTTCAATGATGAATATTTTCATTTTAAGGTAACGTATATAATAATGATTATTTGGTTTCTTGTTATCACAAAATTTTATCAATTACCATCATGCTAACAATCGTCATCAGTTACATGATAGTGGTAGTAGGGTTGATGTCCAGCTGAGCACTTGACCTGCTCTATCCACATGTCCTGATAGGTATTCATTCATTCATGGGTCTTGCAAAAAGTTGACCTGGTGCAATCCATTTCTTTCCAGCCAATGTCTGCTAACTTGAAGGCATGCCTTAGTCATGGGAATATGTCTGCTGGTTCTATCAGGAGTACCTTCTGTCTTGTCTGTTAACTTCTGTCTAGGAAGCCCGAGATTTACCTGAACCCACTGAATGCCCCCACTGAATCAGGTTGTGACACAAGGTTGGTTTTTAATGTGGGGACTTGATTATCTTAACTTAGGCCACTGGTCTAAGCTTGTCTAATCTAGTCTAGTCATAGCTGGTCATACCACAGCTATGTAACAGATGTCACACAATGGTGGGGGGAAAGCAAGGGAGGAGAAAAGGTGTCCACCATGGAATTAGATACTACATCTTCAGCCGCCATCTTGATGGGAAAGACCAAAATTCTACTCCTCTGCCAAACCCTCCAGAAGAAACCGGAAGCCTTCTGCCCTATGATGCCAGTTCAACACCATACTGTATGTACTGCCAGAAGTTCAGTAACACTTGCAATCAATTCAAAACTTATCTCCCCTGTTATTTTTTTATTTTTTTTTTTAAACATGGAAATTTCAATCTCATTAAATTATGAACAGTAACAGAATGTATTTAGTTTTTGTAATTAGTGTTAATTTGCTAATTATTTTTTCTCTGTTGGGTTATTTCTTTATTCTTAATTATTTACCATTCTAGATGGTATAGAAGACTCATTTACTTTTAATATTTCTGTATAATGGAAGTTATGCTTATTACAAGAACTGGTAGACTATCTAGGTAAGCATTCACCTACTAGAATACCTCAACTTTGTATATAAGAGCAAAGAGATATTTTTCAAGTGAGTTTTCTGAGAAAAGATAGGCCTTATAAGCTAAATGAATTTGAAAATTGTAACAAGTTGGTCTTCTTTCAGCATTTTTTTTTTTTTTAAGGAGAGAAGGAGGGAGGGATTTGTATTTTCACTCTCCTAGCAACAAAGATAATAAAAAAAATCATCACTTGAGATTGAGAAATTATAAATTAGAACATAA